CGTGGGAAAGACACCCAATAAAAGATTTGGATTAGAATATTCATTGGCCGGTTTGTTACCACGAGGAATCATGTATACTGGATCTTGTTCCGCACCCTCCTCGGATTGGCTTTCGAGCGTTTTGTCTGACATCCGTACCTTCATTTGTCCCAAAAGGTGCTCAGCAACGTCATCAGACGAAACTGTAGTACCGTTAACATCTAAAACAGCACTAAAACACAAACAAGGGTACTTGAAGATATTAATATATCCATTTATTTTACCTAGCACTTATTGGTACTGTTGTTGTAGCGTTGGATTCAGATGCATTGGCCAAAGGATCAGGAATATAACTTGACCTTTCACTTTCTGCCACTTCTGTATTGTTTGAAATTTCCATTGTTGCCCATAAGCACTCTGGCCAAGGAGGAAAAAGCTGATTTAACTCAACTAAAAATCAAAATTAAATCAAAAAAATCACTTTAAATCAAAAAAATCATTTTAAATCAAAAAAATCAAATTAAATCAAAAATCACTTTAACTCATTCTAAATCATCTTAAATCATACTAAATCACGTTAAATCATACTAAATCACCTTAAATCATCCTAAATCACCTTCACTCACCTTAAACTCGCGGTAAATCGAATGAAATCAACGTAGGATATCTTATGTCAGGATTCGATTGTTTTCTAAATGGGTTCGCGCAACAGTGCTCTTGAAGTAGATCTTGTCGAGCTCTATCCGATGTACACCTTTGTTTTTCGAAAGGGCCCTCTCACTCTTCAAAAAAACTCAAAAAAATTCAAAAAGAACAGCAAAAATTACCGAAAAATTTGTAAAACCTGTCGCGATTCGGTCCACGGTGCTCTCCAACCTGGAAACACGCCTCTCCAGATAGATCTCGACGAGCTCTATCTGATGGACATTTTGTGAGGTTTTTCGGTGCACCTGCTGACCCATAGAATGGGTAATTAGTGTCTAGTTCATTTTTTTTCGATTGAAGCCTTTGCTATCCGCTAAAGAGTGTTATTGAACACCAAGACATACTTCTTCTCATAAATCTCGGCAAGTTCTATCAAATGCATATATTATCACTGAAGCCTCATCTTAGTACCACCAAGAATATGGTAAAAGGGTCGTAGCTTCAAGGTGTTTCTTTCAATATTTCGGATTTCAATCAGTTTGTTTTTCTGTAATGAATTTATAAGCGCTCTAATTATATGGAATTTAACTACACCCATTACAAAGCATATGCGCAACATTCATTTGTACCGGTATTTAGATAATTACTAATCTTTAGTTCCAATCTTAGCAATCTTGGAGAAAAAAAATTGTACTTTGTCTTCTTTTCGTTTAGTCTGCGCAACTAACAAAAAGAGACTGCATTGCTTCCGTCGCTCAAATTTTTTCCTTTATTTCATGTTACACATGACGAGGTGCGAAAAAAAAGATTTTCGTTTCATATTATTTTCTGCAGCACGGAGAGTCAACGAAAAAATTTGGTTTCCCGGAACTTCACCAATATGACTTTCGCGATTTGCAAAGGTCTATTGTGCTTTTGCCAACATACCCCCTGAACTTTCGCCATTACCGAATATCCTATTGGCGAAAATCTTATTGGCGAAGTTCCGACAATCCAAAAGATCGTTAACACTGCCGCCGCCATATATACACGATATATATATATATATATATATATACATATGAACACAAAAGAAAGCAAATATCTTGCTGGTTTACGTGAAAGAACCGATGAAAAAAGCCCTCATTGGATCATCGTGCATCTTTCTTTCGCTCTCTCATCGCATTTATCTAAGGATTAGATCTAGGAATAAGGGTTTGGGGATGGATATCAAAGTTTAGGTATAAAAATTAAGAGATTATTTATAGATTTAAATTTTTAGGGATGTGTATGAGTAGACAGACAGAGCTGAGGAAATGTCGAAAGAGATTCATGTATAACGTTAGCTCTAAGGTTAAATAGTTAGAAATATATAGATGAGATAGTAAGTAAAGCTCGGATGGTCAGACAGACTTTTACGTATATTGGAATGTGTCTTCAAGTACAGATGCATCAACGAAGTAACAATGTATTGAACGCAATCAAAAAGCCATACCACAAAACCTTTTTTCAAGGAATAATGAGAAGGGTCCCTATGAAACTTTTGTTCATACTCAACTTCAAACGATTTCAATTTCGTAACCAAACTCGGAACCTTGAGAGGTTTAGTGTGGTACCTTCTTTTTACAGCGTGCTGTAAACGGTTTTTCTCGTTCTTTCTCTTTCGTGTGTACAGTAATACGAAACAAAAAATTATTTTCCATCTCCTCATCGCATGTATATGAAATTAAAAAAATGGACCAACGGAATCAGTGTGGCCTCTTGTTATATTTTGTGATAATTTAAACCAAAAAACAACAAATGAACATTTTTTCTCCAACGTTTTCTGGAATTGGGACCGAAAATAACTAATTATCCGACTACCTGTACAAATGAATGCAGCTCATGTATTTTTCAATCAATGACATCGAATTTCTTCTGCCTGAAACATTCTTAATTTTTCTTTTGAATCAAATAACTCTAATTGAAATCGAAAACTTTGAAAGAAAAACCTTGAATTTTGAACCTTTTTTGTATTTTTCTGGTAACCCGATGGCGTAGCTGTAGTAACATGTGCATTGTGTAGAACTCGTCAAGATCTATCAGAATAACTGTATCTCGACGTTGAAGAATATTCTCTCACGAATCCCGAAGGTTTTAATCGAAAAAAAGAGTATTTAGGCACTAATTAGCAATTTTATGAGTCATTAAATGCTCTAACAAGTTTCACAAGGTGTCCATTGGATAGGAATTGTCGAGATCTATCTGGAGAACTGTATCTCCATGTTGGAGAATACGCATGAGGGAATTACGACGGCTTTAACTAAAAAAAGCATCAATCAAGGTTATAATTAGCAGTTTTCAGAAAAAAGACTTAGTCAGATTGAATAAGTGAGGTGCCAATTGGATAGAGTTCATAAGGATGTATCTCAAGAGATATCTTTCATCGTTGGAGAGAATTTCTGGCCGAATCCTGATGGCTCTAATTCATGATATTATTAATTAAAGCCACTAATTAGTAATTTTGAGGGCCATTGGGTGCTCTGACAAATTCAGCGAGGTCATCACCAGATAGAGCTCGCCAAGATCTATCTGGAGAGGTGTGTCTCCATATCGGAGAACACTCCTGGACAAGGAGGAAAAGCTAATTTAACTCAGCTAAAAATCAAAATTAAATCAAATAAATCATTTTAAATCAAATAAATCACTTTAAATCAAAAAAATCACTTTAAATCAAAAAAATCATTTTCAATCAAAAAAATCACCTTAAATCAGATAAATCACCTTAAATCAAAAAAATCATCTTAAATCACAAAATCATAAATCACCTTTTTCCCCCTTGACTCTGGCACATCGTCATCAGGTAATTTATCGATTGTTGACTGACTAATTGTAATGTATCGATACAGTGGATTGTTTTGATTAAGCCATTGGAGTGCATCATAAATTTTCTTTTTTCGAACAGTCAAAATATGTTTTAGTTGGCTTCTTTGTGGCATGCGAGATCCGACAAAAATAATTTTTAGAGAGTCACATAAATCATCTAATTCCAATGGTAAAGTAGTAGTTATGTTAATAACATCTTGCGGAAAACTTATGCAGTTTCCTTTTAAAGCTGACTGAGCTGTGCTGGTCGAATGAAAAGGGGACTGCAATTTCACAATGCAACTATTGTGTCGGTACAGAGCAGTAAGTTTCTGTTCAGGAATGGTTAGTCCTTGTAGTTGTTTTGGTATATCTCCCACCCATAATTTATTGGTAGCTGAAAACTTGGGTATTTTTTCTTTCGTCAATGCTGACCAGCACTCCATGCAAACGTCACAATGAATCATGGAGCGTTTCTTTCTATCAACAGTTTTATATAATCCTGCTTCATAGAAAAACATACCATTTATACAAGTAAATGATTGATTATTCGTTGACGATTGAACATTGCTGTCTGAAATGAAAAAAATATCTTATCAATGCTGTAAGTTGGCGTCACGAAAAAATTAATCTACGTTTCTCTCGTCTTGATTCGCAGGGAAGTCGATATCACCATTGCTATGAAACTTACCGTTTGAATTGAAGCTGTTAATCTCCTGAATTTTTGGAATTATGTTGTGAAGATCGGGATGTATCTTGAGTAATTCAATCGATGGAATTTCACTTAAAGGTACATGACGAAGCTCACGCTTATAGCGACGAATATTACAGATGCCACATACACTCTCCGCTAGAGAATCCATGGACATGTGCTGTATGAAGTTCTTCAAACAGTTAACTTTGCAGTCCATATCAACTGGCTTTGGCCAATCAACGTTGGCATCTTGATTTGGTTTTCTTTTCATTACTGTTTGCTTCTGCTTGACAGTTTTCTGAAGACGCGTTGTCTTGTAAGCTACAGTTTGTTGTTGCTTGGCTTCTTCTGACACACGGGCAGCTCTTCTGGTGGCAGTTCTCTCGCGAGCTAGTACTCGCTGTTCTTCAGCTTCTATCGGCGTCGCAGTGGCTCGTTTAGCCATGCTTCTGTCAACGGCAAGTGACCGTTGTTGTTCAATCTCTTTTGGTGTTAAGGCAGCTCTTCGTGCTGCATTTATTTCACGAATAGTTGCTCGCTGCTGTTGGGCTTCATCTGGTGTTAGAAGAGCTCGTCTGGTTGCACTTCTTTCCCTTGCAAGTATCCGTTGTCTCTCAGCTTACTCTGATGTAGCTGCAACTCTCTTAGCAGCCATTCTTTCACGGGCTTGCATACGTTTCTGTTCGACAATTGTACTTTCAAAGCTAGTACAAGTCTCCGCTAGTCGCAGTCGACGCTTGGTGCGAGGAGTTGTAATTTCGTTGGTTGTCGTGATAACTGTCGATGGCACTTGAAATGGTTGCATTTCATTATCGTCCGCATTAAATTCAGGAAGGCGTACTTGAGTTAGTGTATTGTTTTTCGTTGTTGCCTTAGTTGGTGTCTGTAAGTAAAAGTACGTTTTCTGTTTAAGGCGTTTAGCCATAAACTAGAACTTACCGAGGCTGAACCAGAGATTTTCGATTGACGAAGGTGATTTTGACTCTGAGAATTGTCTGATGGAAGCAAAAGTGGCACAAAATGATTAGGCGACCAGTTACCAGCATTACTTCTACGTGCCTCGATTTCGCTTTCGGTATGTGTCCAAAATAGACAAATTGTTTCTGACGCAATGCTGCACTGAGCATGTTCAAAAGTATTATTCATGATGTTTAGATCAGAACGATAAGCAATTGTAGGATATACACTCTGTATGTTGCATTTGAGAACATTGCTCAATGCAGCAATTTCATAAAGTTCCGAGAATGAAAAATTGCGAGCGATATTTTTTATGGCTTCATTAACTGGCCCAACAATATGAGCAAAGCGATTGTGATAGAAGTTTTCATCCTTGACAAGTTCGATTAAACTTCGCACTAGAAAAATAATATGAAAATAATTGAATAATGAAGTTATTTGTACGTACCTCTCAGCTCGCTAGGTGTTGATAATGTATTTCCACTCAAGTATATGATGGAGTTATAAAGGCAATTGCCATCTGCAGCGACCTCGATTGTAATCATACTTTGAACATCCAAAGATGCTTGTTGGAGATATAATTTAGCTTTTTGATCTACTCTGTGAACTTTTGGGTCAAAATGAGTGATGGGCGTAAATTGAATCGGTGTCAAAAGCCACTTCAACTAAATTGTCAGAAGAGAACATGATTTAGAACATATTGTCAGTTAACTCACAATCTCAATCTGCTGACAAATAGTCCTAATTTGATCGTAATAATTACTGGTCATAGATGCTTTACCAAGTAATGTTAACAGAGTCTCGAACATTGTAGATCTGTCTGTTGTACGACAGCGTAAGCAGCAAATTGCTGCCGCCCGTTGTGTGCAAAATAGGCATCGATTGTTCATATTAAAGGTATATAATTAAAATAACACTAATGCTACTGTTTTCAAAATTTTGATAATTGGAAATTATCGATTTCGAATACAATCTGTTAATGATCTAGAAGGAAATACTTTACAAAATAGATTACAGAATATATAATTTAACAGGTTTTTATTTAAAATGAAGAATATAATTACGGAGATTTGAAACAGTTCTAAAAAGGATACTCAAGCGATTTCAAATATAAACTAAGAACATCGTACAAATGTGAGAATATTTAATAAATGGAAAAAAGTACATAATAAATTGCAAGTAGAATTCGTTACAATGCGTTGCCATATGTCATTTAAAAATGTTTTCAACTGGTCATATGCAACGTTACTGTCTGGTGATCATACCTCTCAAACTCCACCAGCGATTTACTGTTCCATAGTACACATTACAATCATTATCATCGCCATTGCATATAAGACTCAAATTAAGAGCACATAGTGGTGCTTGGATTTTTCACAGTGATAAGATTCATCATCTAGCTCTAAAGACACATTGACAAATATTCGTACAAGAGTCCGTGCCGATTCAAAGAGACGAATCCACCTTTGATTAACCACAAATCCGTCAGCGTCTACCAGACCAGTTAGTTTCAGTTTAACGAGGCATAGTGTTGTTGTCAGTAATTAAATAATCCAGTTAAACGATACTTCAAGTAGTCCGAGACTAAGAGTACGCAGATTCTGAAAGATGAATGAAGGTGCCAATTTTTGATTACGGTCAATCAAACTAATGCTCAGTAATCGAATACGAGTAAACTCAGGTAGGGTAAGTGAGAATTCATTCCAGTTAATTGTAGAACCTGAATCGAAGATAAATTGTTCGATATAACTTGGTATTATGGCCAATGTGGAGACTTTAGTAGTTTCTTCTATCTCATCAGTATGAATTTCTAGTCGATGTAATGAGGAAATAGATAAAATAGGCTTTAATAATTCTGATATAGATTCAATTTTAGGAGTAACAACAGTAAGCTGGTTTAGTTTTGTATTTCTTTGCCGAATATTTCTGATAATCCATCTGATCCATTCATTTTCGCCAATAAGTTTTAATGATCGAAGCTCGCAACAATCTTGAAGAACTCCAAGGGAAGTAGTTTCATTGAGTGTCAAAGAAATGACTCGATTGAAAGGAATTGATTCTGGCACATCTTTAACACCAGCATCGAGTATGAGTCCTCGTAACAAGAACCGGTTATTTTCATTAAACAACACTTGATCAACGGCATCTGTGATAGATACAAACGTTGTAAATAAATCCATAATTTCAAAATACTCAAATATTTGTGCCCAAATATCATGGCACAAATCGTGAATTGTACTAGATTTCTCTATGCATGAAAATACAGTTATACAAGAATGTTGCACAAAAATATTTACCCGCAAGTTCTCTATTGACCTTGGCGGTGTCGTAGAGTCTACTGTCGTGTTTAGTTGTGAAACGCGTTGGTGACCAATAATTTATTCCATGCATTTATGAAATCGAACCAGCAAATGAAAACCGAATTGAAAAAGGAATTATCTGAAAATAGAAAAAATGATTACTTTCTCATGGATAAACTATGCTGTGATTCCAAATATGCGTCTACTATAAAGCAGAATGAACATTACAATTTAGATATGGTTCTAACTGTGGCTCTTTAAATACGATAACGAATATTTATCAAGTTGTTCAGATGTACAAGACGCTTGCAATGACATACAAAAAGTTCATACAATATTCATAAACTAAAATGAATATATTATACTTCAGCTGAGATATTTGAAGATTTTTTTATATTATCACCATCAAGTCATCTAATTTAACAAGTATGCATATATATATTTATTTATTTACTTAGCATTGAAGGAGACAGACACATGTGACAAACTTCCCATTTTCCATAAATTAAATAGAACGGTTACATGTAAAACAACTAGAATGAAATTATTTAAATTCTAAAAAGCATGATATTACACCACACACTAGACAAATCAAATTATGCGGATGATGATGAAAAAAGCACTCGCTGTGCTCAAGATGACCACAGGAGTAATGTACTGTTGGCTCATCCACCACGTAAGCCACATTCAAGCCACATAAAGAACATGCGGGTAACTGAGCCATTTCAATTGCTATAATAAACCGTCTTCAATTTATAAGTGTCGATGAACCCTTTGCAAAATATGTGCTAAGATGAAGAACTGCAATCTTTCAAAGATAAACGCAGCTTGGACGTTTAATAATAATAATAATCTACAATTGACAATATAGAGTAATTGAAATGCAGCGAAACAGTATTTCCTTATGCATGCTATCAAAACGAATGTTTAATTTTATGGTTTTCAAAGAAACACAATCACTACAAATTAGAAGAACATATCAAACAGTTAGTCTTTAATTTTTTCATTGTCTCATATTTTTCATGAATGTTGACGAATTATTGCTGTTGTTCTTGTTGTTGTTGCTTCTCGAATGCTAACGTCATTTCGAGTAATTCCTCGTCAGATATCTCTGGTATTGCATCATTGCTAGTGTTTTTGGAGGCGACCATTGTAGCTGCGCTTACAAATTTAATTGGGGGCGGTGCTGCCGCAATGAATTGACTCGTTTGTTTTGAACATTCATGATTAACCATAATCTTTTTCGTTTCCATTTGAATGTCGCTAGAAATGCTTCGTTTCATTGTTTGTGCTGATAATTCAGTTGTTTCCTATTGCGACAATCGTATAGATATCGGATAAGAATATAGACAATTGCTACCTTATGTTGAGTGGATGCCATGATCGAGTCTGAAAATTTGGTCGTATTCGTGGTTGTTCTTATTGTTGTTTCTAAAAAGTAATACATAGCTCAAGACATAATCTTAAAGAACAACATTTGCTGCATTACTTACTTAATATATTTGAAATTTTATTTTTCGAGTTGTATCGAGCGAAGTTTTACAATATTTAACGAAAATCTACAATCAAAATATTCTTAAAGAAAATTTGAGTTTTTGGTTAATTTTATAATTTTATTTTGTAATCTTTTATTAATAATATTTAATGATAAATACTGGTAACACACATGTCCATAAGTTGAACATAAAAACAACTAAGATGATCTCAAAAGTTAAGCAGTGCAGTACTATAATCGTACTACAAAAAAGCCGCTTCGTCTACAGATCAGATGATATTTATTAGGCGCTTGAAAAACATTATTGAGGATATTTCTTTCCGAATTTAATGGTCATTTCAAGCAATTCTTCATCGGAAAGTTCAGGCATAATTTGAACGTTTCCACGAACTTTAATATATATCTCCGCCACACTGACGAATTTTGATTGATCAACACATTTTGAAGTAACATTTGGAGCTTGTTTTTCGCATGAATGATGAGCAGTCATATTGTTTTTTGCTTGACCTGCAGGTGGTAGAGGAGCAGCTCTTTTCTTTCCTTTTTCTGTTCCAGTCGAAGTGCCCTGTTGTCAAATTAATAGAAATATTAGATCTTTTTTTATGTCGTTAGTTCTTACCTTATTATCAGCTTTAATTGCCGATAAATCAGAGGAAATGTTCTGGTTCATTGTTGAATCTATCGTATAAAGATATATATATATATTATGAATTTGAAAAATTAATTCAGCATGATACTTACTTGACAATTGTGACATTTCGGATGAATAAGCTTAAACGTAGATGTGAATATGTATGTTAGTAAAATCTACAATAAATACATGTTGTCTAAATGCTACATATAGATAACAATCCCAGAAAATTTTTATTCGTAAATATAAAACCTAATATAATAACTATCAATATCTACACGTATAATTAGTATATGAAAACGAATCCAAATGTTTTCAAATCGAACGCAACTGACCATCATATGGACAATGATCAATTCAACAACGAAATCATGATTGAGAGAATGAATATTAAAGATAATTATTAACAGGTAACTGATTTTCATTTAGTCTATTTCGCTCTTTACAAATGAGAATATCTTTTTTATAAATATTGATAATAAAAAAACGGCATTAAGTAAAAGTTTTCATTAATATCATTTATCTGGTAAATGCCCTAGATGTATTATTTAAGCGTATTGTAATAATTGCGGACAGACCATGTGCATGAATTTCTCTTGAAGCCGAAATGTATCAACATTATTTATAAACGATCGGTGATATTCTTTTGTAGCAAATTGAATTTCACCGTCGTCATCAATGTACGTGAGATGTTCAACTCGATACAATGGAATTTCTTCTTGTTCCATCAATGAATCAAATTCACCATCGAAATTAACAGTTTCTAATAGATTGAATCCTCTGTTACAAT